CCCCCTCTCTCTCTCTCTCTCTCTCTCTCTCTCTCTCTCTCTCTCTCTCTCTCTCTCTCTCTCTTTCTTTCTCTCTCTCTCTCTCTCTCTACTCTCTCCGTCTCACTCACCTGCTTTCTCTACTTCTTGAATTCAGGTTGTGTTGTTTTTTTGTATTGTAGCCCTCCTCTCCCCTTCCTCAACACATGTACTCTTTTTGGAAATATAACCTACATCTTTGAGCAACGTTAACACACGAGAGAGTGATACATCATTTAGGTACTTCGAAAGGCATTTTTTTAGAAACATGGTGATCTCCCATATTGTGTGATACTATTGTACAAAGCATCCCATTCAACTGATCTATTTTCTTGTGAAGAAGAAGAAGAAGAAGAAGAAGAAGAAGAAGAAGAGAGAGAGAGAGAGAGAGAGAGAGAGAGAGAGAGAGAGAGAGAGAGAGAGAGAGAGAGAGAGAGAGAGAGAGAGGGGGGGTGATTTAACACTGAGCTACCACACGGGTGACCCCTTGTTCGTACATGATTAAAAATTATTTGACATACATGCATTATACTCATTGAGGAATTTAAAAGGTTATTCACTGATTTGGTTTAGTCTTGTCAGAGACAGACATTAAATCACAAGTTCTGCACCTTAATCAACCATATTATTACGCAGAAAAAGGCTTCAAAATCTCTACAATAAAATTCGGAAGACAAGATTCATCTTGATGTTTTTTCGTGTTACTTTGGCTGAATAAGGGAAATGTAACAGTTACTGAGCGTTTTCATTTTTTTCATCTGTATAATTATGACGAGATGCAAAATGTAATAATATAGCTCCAACAACTGTTATCGAGAATTCATCCCTCATTTTAAAAGCCAGTACAAATTTTAATCTATAAAATCTATGCTTCAGTTTTGCAACTTCGTTAATGTGGGGGAGAGGTAGCAAAAGGAACAGTTGGCTTTGTGCTACAAAACATAACTGTCAGTATGGATGTGCAAAGCATTAAAGACCTTGTACAGTATATCAGACCATTTATATTTGTTTTTAATAGCCTTTTCTACTGACAAATTGATTTCCACCCTGTCTTGCTCTTCTCTGAGCTTTGCTTCGGACTATTAAGCCTGTTAATTGCACAGTTTGAGTGGTTTCTTGAGTTGGCGAGGGGGTTTGTGTATTTTTTCTTTTTGGAGGGTGGCGTTTGTTTGGTAATATTTGCTTTAGACTCGAGTAATACGTTGTACTGAAGAGTGTGTTGTATAATAATAATAATAATAATAATAATAATAATAATAATAATAATAATAATAATAATAATAATAATAATAACAAAAATGCTCACAACACAAAAAGACATTTATGGGCTTAGGTGTCGCAATATCATCTTTGAAGACATCGGTCACTTGGTCAATGACGTCAGTAAATGTTGTGCTTTGTATTTCTGCTATCTCTTCGTCGCTGAATAATCTGAGGACATCAAATAACACAAAACTTATAATTTTGTAGTTTACACGAGTTACGTGTGAAAGTATTTTTGTGCCCTGCTTTATCAGTACATTGTCATGATGGGTAAAGAAAGGCAGCAAGATATTGATTAGTGGTACACAGTGTTTGAAAGCAAAAAAATAGTGTGGACCACAAGTGACTTTGCTGCTTTTCATATGTCCACTCGTCTTCTAAAACGGGATCTCGATTACTTGCGTAGTATGGCTGACACGTGTCTCTTTTCTAGATAATCATTTACCTTATGTGGAAGTAAAAACCATCTAATAATCTAATGAAGTAAACACATCATCTGAAGAGTTATTTTTTTCCATTCAGATTCATAATGACTGACCGCTTCCATTTTCAGTGGGTTGTAAGGAGATGAACATGCATGAAAGGGGGGGGGGGGGGACACAGAATCATGTTCTCAACAAGGCTTCTAACAGTTGCTGTAGATATTGTTTGCCCATCGCTCCTTTACTTCCCAGAATTACCAGGTAAAAAAAGGCTGTATCACGTTCGATACTGTAGTATCAAATTCGTTTTGGCACCAGAACATTCGGAAAATTGGTTGCATATTATAGTATTTTTTAAAAAATCTACCGGGCCAGACACATACCATGGTCTATTAGGAAATAAAAGTGGGGCAGATGGACATTTTTGTATGAATATATAAATGTGTGTGTGTGTGTGTGTGTGTGTGTGTGTGTGTGTGTGTGTGTGTGTGAGTGTGTGTGTGCGCGTGCGTGTGTGTGTGTGTGTGTGTGTGTGTGTGTGTGCGCGCGTGGGAGAATGTGTGTGCGAGAGTGCGTGCAAGGGAGAAATGCATACACCTCTCTCTGTCTATATATATATATACAATATATAATACATATATATATAATATAGGTATACATAATGTATATATATTATAATATAGGTATATATATAATGCATACATATATATTATATATATATTGACAATATATATACATATATTACATATATATAAATATATATTTATATATATATATGTGTGTATATATATATATCTATATATAT